TGATCCAAGAGAGAGAGCAAGGAGGAAGGCACAATGCCTTTATGACTTATTCTCAGAAGTTACGTCACTTCACATTTTATTTGTTAGAAGGAAGTGACTGAGTACATCTCACACTGAAGGGGAGCGGGAGTAGACTCCACCATTTGAAGGGAGGGCTATCAAAGAATTTGTGCACATCTTTAAACCACCACGGCTTCAAATGTTGCTCAATTAGGTAGAATGGTTTCTGTAGTCTCTCTGACTCTTTCTTTCTCCCTCGGCTCCTCTATTGCCAGTTTAATAAGCTATTGAATTGAATCTAATGTGTTTCTTCCTATCTACTGAGATGTCTAGTTTTAGACACAGTTGGGTCTCATTGTTTACTCCCTCAGACATGGGGCTGGGCTTAGTGCATGCCAGGTGTGTTAGGGGCTGAACTCCTACCTGGAAATCTTATGGGGATGTACCCACAGATTCCTACTCCTTAGCCCTGGGATCTCTTGGAAGAAGACTGCCTTCTGGGCTTCCTCCCCAGATGCCAGACTCCATCTGCCTCATGGGGTTTGCTCTCCTGGTCTGCAGTGGGGGCTGCCCCAGCCAAATGGCTGGGTAAGTTCCCAGGTGTGGCAGCCATCAGCTGCAGCACCTCCAGCCTCTGCAGCAGTGTTGGAGTGGATGCCACTGTCTTCCTCGGTAGCATCCAACCAATGAGTGGGCACAGCCGGGGCACTAGGACCTGGTCATTTCTGCCCAACTGGGGCTCTTCTATGGGCATTCTTTGCACCAGAGCTCCCTGTTGGCTGGCTGAGACTTTCTCAGAGCAGCACTGTGATGTGAGGCTCTTCTTACCCAGCCCTCTTTCCCTTCTCCTCTCTCCCCATACATGTCATGATACCGAGCAATGGGCTCGCTCTGCTCACCACGATCTGGGCTAATTAATCACAACGAGTTAGAGATGGAGAAACGAATTTTAATTAGATTAGCCAGCAAATTGGAAGACAGATGACCGATGTCTCAAAGACCCATCTTCAAAGATTACAGAATCTTGAGGCAGTTATATAGGGAAAATGGGCAGTAAGGAGGGGGTCCAGGGATGTTGGTCTCCAGGTATGACGGGCTCCAGGCATCACATTGTTCCATTCTTCTGTCAGCTGTGATGAATACCTTGTAGGTGTGTTAACTGCCTGTGGTCAGCCTGTTCCTGGAGAGAAACTCATAGAACAAAGTTTTTAATTTATCAAGCTATTGGGGAGTACATACATAGGTGGAGGCCATAAATCAGGAGAGCATATGAATTTTTTAGACTACGTGCAGAAAAGCAAGTAGTCACACAGAGGAGAGGCTGGGGCCATTTAGTGTAACAAAATGGCCTCACTTATGCTTACTTACAGTCAGACCTGCAATGCAATCTGAAGGCTTTCCCTGCTCAATCCTGCTTCCTCCCCCTTTATCTTTCACAAGCATTTCCTCCAATAAATTTCTTTTACTTCTAACTCCATCTTGGTGGCAGCTTCATAGAGGACCCAACTGACATCCAGGCTCTGGCTCCTCTGGCTGCCAGACCCTTTACCCCCAAGGGATGAGTTCCCTCTCCATTCCCCATCTTGAGCCTGTTCTGTCCCCGCTCCCCTCTTCTCTGTGTGCAGGGCCTCGCCCTATGCCTGGCACATAGTAGACACTCAGTAATTATTTGTTTTTGAATGAACGCAGAATGTTCTGGAGCTAGGCACTGCCTGCACCATTCTCCTGGCACAGAGAGCTGCAGGGAGCCCTCTGGGTGGGGCCAGGAGGGCCAGATCTAAGGAGCAGAGGGAGGGCACCATCTGGGCAGTAGAAGGAAGGCTCTGAGGGGAGGCTATGGGGGAGCCGAGAATTTCTCAGGGCCCGAGGGGACCCTCCCCACATGCCAGGGGAAGTCTGACGTGGCTTCTCCCCTGATCTGCTGTGTGACTCTTGCCAAGTCTCTTCTCTTCTGGGGCCTCATTCCAACCATCTTGACAATGGGATGAGAAACCCTGCCCTGCCTGTCTCCCTAGGGAGGAGTGGGGGTTGTGAGTATCAGATGAGGTCATGGCTGGGAAAATGTGAACGGGAAAGGGTGGGGACCTGGGCCTGGGGTCAGGGTGGGGAGGAGGAGAGCAGACAGAGGAAGAGAGAAGCATTAGGAGAGAGAGGGATACAGACAGACAGAGACACACAAAGGAGCAAAGAACAGAGAAAAGCATGAGAGATAAAGAGGGTATGGATGAGAGAGAAGAGGAAGGGAAGAGAGAAGCCAGAAAACACAAAGAAACAGGAAGACAGAGGAAAACAGAGAGAGGGAGAGAAAAGGAAAAGAAATTTAGAGAGAAATGGGAAAAAGAGGGAAGAAGGGAGTGGGAAGAGAGCACAGAGAGAAATTCCTAGAGATGGAAGGACAGAAAAAACGAGATACAGAAATAGGGAGAGAGGGAGGCAGAGAGACATTGGGAGAGAGAGACAATAAAAGAGATGGAGGGCAGTGAAAAACGGTAAAGAGAGACAGGGGAGAGAAAGAAATGGAGAGAGAAAATAAGATGGAGAGTTAGAATCAAGGAGAAAAAGAGAGAGGGAGGGATGGAGGAGACAGGAAGAAATTACGAGAATCGGAATCAGAGAGGGAAAGAGACAAGGAGACAGACGGATGAGAGAGAAGCCAAAAGGAGGCAAGAGTGATGGGGACTGAGGGAGGGAGACAGGGATAAACAACCAGACAGGGAGGGAGAGGTAACACCTTCTCCCAGGGACCTCCACCCCTCCTCCCCACTGGCACCCACTGTGCACTCTGCCCCGCCCCAGATGGGTGGAGAACAGAGGAAAGCCCCGGCCCCTCTTCTGTCTGCAGGGCCCAGCCGGTCCTGTCCTGTCCTACTGGTTTGGCTCCTGCCATCCTCCACTCCAGGGCCTCTGAGGGGCACCTTGGTGGGAGTCAGGGCTTCAGAGTCTGTCCTATACGCTGGCTGACGTGGCCACCGCATGAAATCTGAAGGGAAACTCAGTGACACCCTCTTTCAAGGCCTGGGCAGGTGCCAGCCTGCCTTTCTTTGGGGCCCAGGCAGGAAGAGACCTCAAAGGTCAACTCCACTGTATGTCTCACTGTACAGAGGAAGAAACTGAGGCCCAGAAAGGGGCAGAGACAAGCGTGAAATCACACAGCCAAGCAGTGGTCTAGCCAGGACGAACTATCACACGTGCTGTGGTCTGAAAATTTAGGGACTTGCTTTCCCCTGGGTAAACTGCTTCCTGCCCAGGGGTGTGTCCTGAGCCTTTAGTGACTGTGTTTTGGATGCCAGACGCTGTGCTGAGAGTCTGTTCTGACATCCTATGACATGATGGCTATGATTATACCCATCATACAGATGAAGAAACTGAGGCTCAGAGAAGTTAAGACTCCTAAGCCTGAGGTCACACAGTGCTGGGACCCTAGCTAGGTCTGCCTGACCTTGAAAGTTGCATTCCTGCCATGGCACCTCCCAGCTTCCCCTCATGGTGGGCAGGGAAGGGCTCTGTACTGTGGAAAAGGGGGCAGAGGTGAGTGGTCTTTTCTACAACTGGGGAAAGTTACCAGAACGATGGTTTCCAAACATCGGAATTCTTCCCAGAGGGACCCACCTTCGCTCAGTTGTGTCTCCGCCTTTGGGAACCTCAGGTCTCCCTACCCTTCTTGCCATCACTCGCTCTAATCCATACCCCCTTTCCAAACCTCTGGAGAGAAGGAGTCTGGCTCTTGGGCTACCCTCACTCTCTCTCTCCCTTCTCTTTGTTGTCCCCAGCTGTGACCTCTAGGGCCACAGGCCCAGGCTGGTTCTGAAGCCACAGAGATGGGCCTGCACACCCTGCAGCCCCCCTTCTCCTTCCTCTGCACAGTGGGCTCCCCTTCCCCAGCTCTGCCCCTGGCTCTGCCCGACTAGGGCTCATCCTCCTGGAAGAGACTCAGATGGAGATTTCGGGGGATGTTGGGGGAGCAGTAGGCTGGTGGGCAGATGGAAAGACAGACAAGTCACTGTTCTGGCCAGCCCTGACCTCCCAGCAAAGCCCCCAAGAGCTGCACTCCCAGCATCTAACCCCTCCCCAGCTGGGGCTGGACTGTCACCTAAGGATTCCCACCCTCACTGATCCTCAGTTTCTTCATCCACACTATGGGTGGAAGCACCTGGCTTCCCTGGATGGTTGGAAGCTGAGTGATACATCAGCTTTGGGACACAGGAACACGTGCTGGGTGTAGCCCCTCCCTGATGGAGAGACCATCCCTGTCTCTTGGGGGACACATGTTGCCTGCTGTGTCTCCCAGGTGGCTATAGTCTAGGGATGGAGGTGCTCTGGCTGTGTCTCCACCATCTATCACACCAGGAGGGTTACTGCTGTGCTTGGAGTCACAGGAAGTAGAGAGCCCTGGGGCACTGTCCCCTGGGTATGGTGAGAAGCTTTTTAAGAAGCAGGACTGGGAGGAGCACCCCACTTGGCCAGGGGATAGACGCTCCCTTTCCCAGAAGCCTCAGGAGCTCCCAGGGGTGTGGCCACAGAGCCCCAGCCCTGCCCTCACCTCCTTCACCCAGCTCTGGTAGACGCCCACGGCCCCCTGCTGGCTTCATGGACCTGGGTGTGGCAGCCACCACTGGTGAGGGGATGAGGATGAGTTCTAGGAGCCTCCTCTGAGCCCCTGGACCCTCTTTCCTCCCCGGGGAGATACAGATCCCCTCCTGGCCCCCTCTCCCAGGGCCCAGGGCTTTGGCTCCCATAGTCCTCATGCAGGCAGGGCGGCAGCAGGTGACTGGATGGCTTTGAGAAAGCAGGGTGAGTGGGGGCGTGGGCCTCGGCAAGTGCACTCCTCGGCCAATCAGCAGCCTGCCCAGCCAGTGGATTCAGTTACAAGCCCGAGATCACCCCATAGTCCAGCCTCCTTCCTACTCCTCCCAAAGCTCCATTCATCGGCCCACTGCACCAGGTCTGCTGGGCATTGCTTCTGCTCAGCTGCTGAACTGCTGCCTCGTGGGTGGGCTGCCAGGGGCAGGCATCCCGGCGGCTTTGTATGACTGGGCTGGGCAGAGCGGAATGGGGGTTCTGGTGGTGCTGTTGGGGATGCCGAGCTTCCTGGTGGTGGCTCTGGGGGGCTCCCCTGCCCTCCACTGGGACAGCACCTCCTGCCACTTGGCCAGGCCCATCCCTGGCAGCCCCTTGGGGTCCCTGAGCTTCCTGGGCAAGGATGCACAGGGACTGGCCCTGTTCCACGCCCGCTGGGATGGGCAAGGGAGGCTACAGGCGTGTAGCCAGCAGGATGAGCCGGCACTCACCGCAGCCTTCAGTGCTGTATGTGCTGGTGAGATCACCCGGGGATCCTTCATCCACACCCCTGGACCTGAGCTGCAGAGAGCCCTGGCCACCCTTCAGAGTCAGCGGGAGGCCTGCCGGAGGCCTGAGGAGAGTCCAGCAGGGTCCAGGCAGAAGCGAGCAGCAGGGCAGAGTGCAGCGCCTGGTGTGGGGCACCAGCGAGTGAAGAGAGGTTGGACCATGCCTGGCACGCTGTGGTGTGGAGTTGGGGACTCTGCCGGGAACTCCTCGAAGCTGGGTGAGCCGTGGGGTTGTGGGCTGTGGGGCTGAGGGTGGGGAGTACAGGCTTTCACCCTGGCACCCACTCTCCCAGGCTGTGTGTCCTTGAGGGAGTGACTCAACCACTCTGAACCTCAATTTCCTTATCTGTAAAATGGGACTGGCCACAAGTCTCATCATGGGATGCTTAAATGAGGTCGTAGATGGGAAAGGTCCTACTCAAACCTGGGAGTCCTCATTAACTACCATCCAAGGGAGGGCACAGGCTGGGGTGGATCCAAGATTGGCTGAGCCAAAAAGCCATTACCCAAGAGGAGGCTTTATGGGCACAGCATGCTCAGTGGAGGGGACACTGAGACCCAAAGGCCTGGGTTCAAATCCCAGTTCAGTACATCCAAGTTCTCTGAACCCCGGTTTCCCCACCTGTATAATGAAAGTGACACCTCCCTCACAGGGCTGCTGTGAGCTTAGATGTGGGAAGTACCAGGTACTCGGGAAATGCTCAGTAAAAGGCACTCTTGCTGGATGGTGAGAAACATGGATGGCTTTTTTGCACTCTCAGTACAGCTGTCTGTGTGTATGCGTGGAGGGTTGGGGGGAGGACTTGGCACCTAAGTCACAGCAGGTTGGCATCCTGGCAATGCCTCATCATGCCAGCAAGAAAGGTTGCACCCTGCCTGTTTGTCATTCCATTCCACACACATTCATAACTTTGGAGTTTTATTTGGGGTGTGAGCTTGGGAACTCTGGAGGCAGACTCTAGTTCCCCCAAGGAAGACCTTTCCATGGGCAAGGGCTTCTAGGGGGCTGCTCGGCACTTGGAGTTGCCCAGCACAGACTGCACCTGGGTGCTCTCTGCAAGCTTGGAAACTGTGAGTCCCACAGAGGGAGAGTGACTGGGCTGAGGCCACGCAGGGCGTCTGAGTCAGGGCTGGGGCGAGAACCAGGTCTCTGATCTCAACACATGATCAGAGCGTGGCTGGTGTGTGGTGCCCAGGACCCTTCTAAGCTGGTGCCCCTTCTGCTCCCTGCAGGGGTCTTCCAGGGCCCCGATCTCTGCTGCCGGGAACACGACCTCTGCCCACAGACTGTCTCGCCCTTCCAGTACAACTATGGCATCCGAAACTACCGATTCCACACCATCTCCCACTGCGGCTGTGACGCCAGGTTGGCGGTGGGCAGGGGGTGCTGGGGGCTCAGAGGTGGGGCAGAGTTATCCAGTTCCTGGGTGCAGAGACTGGGATTCCAGAGAATCCTAAAGGATCAGACAGCCTGGACCCCACTCTGCAGGTGGGAAAGCTGAGGCCTGAGAGGAGAAGGGACTCTTGGATCCCAAAAAACCTGGCTGTTAGTGACTGGGTGGGCTGGGGGAGGAGCTGGTGGCCCTTTGTGGTCCAGGGACCTGAGTGCTGGCTCTGGGGCAGGTTCCAGCAATGCCTGCAGAACCAGAGAGACCCCGTCTCTGACATCGTGGGTGTGGCCTTCTTCAACGTGCTGGAAACCCCTTGCTTCATTCTGGAGGAGCAGGAGGCGTGTGTGGCGTGGTACTGGTGGGGCGGGTACGTGGCTGTCCCCTTCGAACCCCTTCCTACCCAGAGGGAAGCCTGGGTTCCAAGCCCAGGGAGGGGGGCCTGTCTGTCTGTCTGTCCTCCAGGGAAAGATGCCTTGTCCTCTGTGTCCTCTCCTTAGGGCAAGGCCCAGGATGTGGACCCTCCCTGGGTACCCTGCATGACCCAGTGGGATGAGGGACGGGACAGGCAGAGCCTTGGTCTCCATGGAGATGAAGCCGGGGGCTGCTGGGGGGGGGGGATTCTGGGTTATCAATCGCCACTAATTGCCACCTCCCAGGTGTAGAACGTACGGCTCCATAGCCCTTGCCCGCCTCCAGCCCAGGACCCTCTACAATGCCTCCTGGAGCTCCCCAGCCACCCCCCTGACTCCCAGCCCCCAGAACCCAGCCCTCAGTAAGCCTCGATGGAAGCAGCACCCTTGGAAGTGGCCGCCACAGTGGAAAGAGTCCCAGCACCCCAGCAAAGCCAACACCACAGCCCTCCAGGTGCCCGTGGCCTCCCCTAGGCCTCATATGGCCCCCACAGCCCGGGTGGAGGTCACCCATCCAGGCCTCCAGGGGCCATGGGGTGGCCTAAAACCTCAGGGTGAGCTCAGAACCTAATCTTGGGGGTCCCCGATGTGAGGAAGTGTCCCTGCCTCTGTGAGGGGAGGGGATGGGGGGACTCTGTTGCTTCCTTGCTTGCTCTGAACTCCTCCTGGAGTCTCCCCACCTTTCCCATCAAATTGTGCTGCAGTTAGGATTTTTGTAAGCTGCAAACTTGACTATGTCACTCTCGACTGAGCCCCCACTATGGCTCCTTTTACCTCAGCTGACAATGTCCCAACACCCAGGGGCCCTCAGGTGCTGATCCTGAAGACCCTACTCCCCTGTCTAAACTCCAGTTTCACAAACTTCATTTGGTTCCTCACAAGCAGCTTGTTCTCTCCCACCTCTGGGCCTTTGCACATGCTGTTCCTCCTGCCTGGAGCCCTCTCCCCTCCTCTTCCTCTCTCCTAGCCTCAGCTTAGCAACCTCTGCCTCCAGGAAGCCTTTCCTGACCACCGTCAGCACTCTGGGCATCCCCCATGGCAGCACTGCCGTGTGTGTGTGTGTGTGTGTGTGTGTGTGTGTGTGTATGTGAGTCAGTGACTCCCATGTGTCCAGCATGTGTCCAGCATTCTGAGGGCATGAATAGCATGAGTTGGAGGGAGACTTTGTGTGTGTGACTGAGCACGTGTGCCAGCGTTTCTTCTGGATGGCAGTGGCATATCAGTGGGGCCTCCCTGGGGAACCGGGCTCCCTTCACCACCATGTCCGCCTCCAGGCACCAGCCGGGCCTGCCGCAGCTTCCGCCACCTGGACCGGTGTGAGCACCAGATCAGGCCTCAAGAGACCAAGTTCCAGCTGATCAATAAGGCCCATGAGCCCCTCTTCCACTGCAATTGCACACGCCGGTGAGGCCTGCCTGGGCCCTCAGGGGTGGGCTGTCTGCTGCCAGGCACTGGGGAGGGGCGCCTGGCTGGCAAGGCCCTGCCCCAGCTTGATCCTGCCTCTGCCCTCAGTCTGGCACGCTTCCTGAGACTCCATGGCCCACCCGTGGGCGCCAACATGCTTTGGGAGCTGCTGGGCAGGACCTGCTTCAAGCTGGCCCCTCCACCGGACTGTGCTGAGGGCAAAGGGTAAGTGACGGCAGAGCCAGGAGGGACGGGGGATTTTCCCGAGGGGTGGCTTGCCTACACCCTCTCTGTGCGCCTGGGCCCAGGGAGCGGGGGACAGGGTCACCTCTGAGCTCCATTGTCATCACCCCCTACCCCCTGGTGCCCTGGGTTCAGCTCTGCAGTTGGCCCACGTGGGTTGCATCTTGACTGTCATTTACTTCCAAAGTGACCTTGCAAGTCGAGTCAACCTCGCCACACCTCCCTTTCCTTATCTGTGAAATGGTTGTAGGAACCCAGGAAATGGTGTGTGTGATACACGTAGCCCAGGCCTGCTGAGCACATAGTAAAATGCTTGCTTAACTCTTACTCCCAATCCACAATCTCATTGCAATTCTGATTCTCAAAGCCAGTCCCTTGTTACTTTTTCTATTTCACGGGTGAGGAAACCAAGGCCCAGACTGGCCCAGGTTCCTGCAGCCAGCTATTGGTTTATTCTGCCCCCTTGTAGGTGTAACCCACCCCTCCCTGGCCCTAGCCCTGCTCCTCTCTGGGCCTCGATCCCACTGTCTGCAGAGTAGGGTGGGATCCTCTGCAGCCACGACTGCCTGCCCCACTTTTCTCTTCCCACAGCTGTTCCAGAGACCCTAAGGCCATCGAGGTGTCAGCTCGGCACTTGCGCCAACTTCAGCAGAGGCGACTCCAGCTCCAGGGCACAGGCACAGATGAGGGGCGGGCACAGCCTTCAGAGCACCCAAGGGCCCCCATGTCATTCTATGACCGGTGCCTGCAGCTGACCCAGGCAGCCCGAGGACCTGAGGGGCAGCAGAAATCCTGGAACCAGTGACCTCAGTTCCAGCTCTCCTGGGCACCAGACTGGACCCTGCCCCTGGCTTTGCCAGGCCCTCGAGTCTCGGCCTCTTCTCAGTGTTTTAGACTGAAGCATGACACGGGCTCTTGTGGACAGCCAGGAGGCTGGATGGGGGAGGCGGGGGGGCGGGTCAAGACCCAAATGCTGGACCATGTCTCCTGCTGTGCTGGGTGATCTTGGGCTCATGACACAACCTCTCTGTGCTTGGATGTGCTGTTCAGGAGGCTCACTCTGATGCCTTGGGCTTGGGCCTTGCCAAGGAACTTCACATCCAGATAGGAATGGGGAAGGGGTAACTTATTGCAGCAGCCCAGCAGAAGTACTAGAAGGAGGTACACATATCTCCATGTTGCAAAATTAATACAGGTCTCAAGGACCTGCCTAGGGGAGCCCCAGCGGCTGCCTGCTGAGGCCTGGGGCAGCAGATGGGGGAATGAGGATGTCACAGAAGTGCCTGTATCTGGATCTAGGACTGGGGGGCATAGAGGGGATTCCTACTCTCCTCCTCCCTGGGGGAACCCTTCTCTTAACAGCTGCTATGCCCTTCCTGGCCCAACCCTGGCCCATTCTTTCTACTCTAAACCTAAATTCTAATCTCCCCCGTGCCTTTGAGTAAGGAACCTCCCTCTCCCACTCTGAAACTTAGTCTCCTCCTCCGGAAAAGAGGAGTGTAAACAGGATCTATCTCATAGGGTTGTTGAGGATTGCGTGAACCAATACACGGACAGTGCTTAGCACCAGTAAATGTTCCCTCCCTCTAACACACAGCTAAACTGTGCCTAGGCATCTGATTTTGAGAGGCTCACATAACCTCTTGGAGGCCTCAGTTTGCTCACCTGTCAAATGAGTCTAAGAATGGCACTGAACTCAACACCACAACTCAGGGTTGTGGTGCAGATTAAAGGAGATGGTGCATGTAATGTATACAGCTGGTAATTGTCAGATCTGTCATCCTCTTGCCTCTTTAGTCCCTTCCTCTGACTACTCCCACCCCCAGACCGCTAACAAGTTAGGAAGGAGTCAGGAGTGAGGCTGGAGAATTTAATTCCTAATCAATGACCTCCAGGATCGCCCCCCATCCCAGATGGAGGCTCATATAGGGCTTTGCTGATTGTCACAGTTGAGGTGCCAAGACTGAGTTTGGGGGACCCCAGTTGGCCACCCCTGGTCAGGACAAAGTGGCAGGTGCGAATAAAGCTGAAGAGCAGCAGGAGGGAGGCAGGTGGATTTGCAGAAGATTGGGGCATAGTGGGGACCATCTGGCCCACGTGTCCACCCTGCCCTCAGGGCCCCAGGCCCCCTTCCTCTAGCCCCTGCTGGCCCTGGGGGCTGGGAGACAGGCTGTTGGGGGCCAGAGCCTCCTGATCAGGTCCCCAGGAGCCGCCACCACCAGGGTCTACAGTCTCTAGGCGCAAGGCAGGCAGCAAGCCCATGCTTCGAGGCACAGATGACGGGAAGGCCCAGGGGCCAGGCAGCCCAGAGGGCCCCTCACTACTGCCCCGGCTGCCGCCATCATTGCCCCTGTCGGGGGCCACCCTGGGCACACGGCGGCTCTGGGGTGAGGGGCTACGGCTGGTGCCACGGCGTTCACGGGACGAGGGCCGCAGGGCAAGGCCGGGAAAGCGGGCCAGGCCTGGGCTGCGGCTACGGTGCCGCTTGGACTTGCCAGGGCTGGGGCTGCGGGACTTGGGTGCGAGCAGCTCCAGGGTGCTGTCATCCTCATCCTCCGAGCTGGCACCTGAGCTGTCTGTGCTGCTGCTGGCCGATTCTGAGGTAGGCAGCGAGATCTGGGGGGAAGACTGGTCACTGAGGTGCCTTGCTCCCCAACTGGCCACTGAGGCCTCTTGGAACTACTCCAACCCTCCCCGCTGGCAGACCCAGGAAGGTCAGGCTACTTGTAGGAGGTCACAGAGCAGAAGGTAGAGGATGTAGCATATGAACAGGGTCTTTTGGCACTCCCCGACCCTGCCGTCTGGCCTACTCACCTGGAAGGGCTCAGTGATGCCAATGAGGATGCTGTGGGTGTGGCTGTAATAGCCCAGGATGAAGTCTCCATGGCCCTTGGGTAGCGATTCCTCACTGAATGTCACCTGGTAAGCCCAGGGGTACAGGCCCAGGTTGGAGACAGGGAGGTAGCCTCAGGACCACTCAAGCTGAGTCCTGAGCCCCCAAGGCCAACGGGGACTTCTTCCCACTGTCCCCCTCCCCTTAAGTACCTGGAAGATGTTCCCGTCCACATCCTCGTGTTTGGCCCAGACATAAGCCACATAGTCCTTGCAGTGGCGGAAACCCACCTGGGGAAGAGGAATGAGGGTTGTGACCCCTAACACCTAACCCCAGCAGCCCCCGGTGTGGCATCAAACTCTGCAGAAGCCAGTGATCCCACCTGGGTGCCCGGCTGCTCCTCCAGGCCCTTCCTTCCCCACGTCACTGACCACCCCTGCCCTTCTCACCCGGTACAAGCCGATCCAGTCCCAGGAGCTCCGGGCGAACGCCGTTTCCACGCGGTACCTCACCACGGCCTGCTCCGGCCGCACCCACTCGTCTGCCACCTCCAGCCGCACCAGTGGCATGTCGTCCCTGAAGGCAAACTTCCCAGGGGCAGGGGGCAACATCAGGGGAGACCCTCCAGTATCCCATGCACCTAGGGCCCTTGGGCCTGAGTCAGCCCAAATCGGTTGAGATGAAGGGCCTTTGAAGCTATTGCACAGACTGGGAAACTGAGGCAGAACATGTCTAGGATAAATGTCAGGCTTCCTGCCTCCCAGCCCAGGGCTCTTTCTGTCCACAGCCTCCTTAGGGAGTGAATGAGAACACAGCTTTGAAGCTAGTAGACCACGGGTTTGGCCCTCGCTCTGCCATTGACAGGCTGTGTGACCCTGGGTGAGTTTCTTGACCTCTTTGAATGCCAGGGCTCTTGTCTATAAACTCAGATGATCTTATTTAATTCAGCAGATTCAATGAGATACTATTTGTAAAGCATCTCATAAACTTCCCAGTACACAGTAGGTGCTGAATGAATGATTTGCCTATATGCTAGCAAGGGGGACAGGTAAAATCTCATGATGCCCTGGATATTCTGGGGTAAGCTGAACACCCCTGAGTGGGCAAGAAGAGCCCTGGGTAGAAAGTTGGAGACCTCAGTTCTCCTGTACTAAGGGGCCACTATTACCTTGTTCGTCATCAATCCATGAAGACAAATTACAACCATGAGTATCCTCTTCCCAGGGTCACCCCAGGCCAATCAAGGGGTCACCCATGTGGGTGGGGTTGCTGGGGTGGCAGGTAGCCAGGGCAGTGGCTCCACCTCTGCCCTCAGGGAAGGAAAAGGGTGGTGCCAGCCTCAGGCTTTTGTCTGCTCCCCTGTTTACCTGGTTTCAGGTTTCCCTCCCTCCTCAGCTTCTAAGCCAAGCTGCTCCAGAAGAAACCAGCACATCCTCTCCCTGCCCCTGGGTTCCGAACAGTGGGTCTGGCCAGGGTGGGGAAGATCAGCCCTGAGCTAACATCCATGCCAATCCTCCTGTTTTTGCTGAGGAAGATTGGCCCTGGGCTAACATCCGGCCCATTTTCCTCCACCTTATATGGGACGCTGCCACAGCACAGCTTGACAAGTGGTGAGTCAGTGCGCGCCCGGGATCTGAACCCTGGGCCACTGCAGTGGAGCATGCACACTTAACTGCTACGCCACCTGGCCGGCCCCCCAGGGTGGGCTCTTAGAAAAGACTCTCCAGGGCCTTTTGGGGTCAAAACTTTCACTGAGCACTGTTCTGACTGTGTTGCCTTGGGTAAGAGACTTAAGTTCTCTGAGCCTCAGTTTCCCTCACCAGTAAAACTGGAAGGAGAATTTGGACAGCTCAGGGCCTACTAAGGCATTCAAAGGGATGATATGTGAAGTGCCCTACACAAGGCCTGGCACGTAGTAGGTACTCAACAGGTCATGTTTTGCAAGGGACTAAGGTCAGAGTAGGGTGCCCGAAAGGAGTGGTTCTCAAGGTAAAGTCCCTGACTGAGGGGTAAATCTCATGCCCACGCGTTTTACCAAAGGTCACAGGAGGCCAGATATGGGAAGATTTCTATTCCCAGCTGAGGATATTGGCCAATGTCCCACTGACTGACCATGTGACAAAGTTACCAAGGAAAACACTTTCTGGCCTGCAGGGCTCCCTCTTATCAGATCAAGAGAATCAGAGAGCCCAGAGTTGGGTTTCAGGGTTGAAAAGATGGGACCTAACCGCCTCTGCCACTGAGCCTGTGTACAACTTGGGGCACATGCCTATCCCACTAGGAGCTTCAGTTTCCTCTTAGAAAAACAGAGTTGGACTACATGGTCTCTCAGGTCTGGTTCTGACATTCCAGGATTTCTCCTTTCTACTTTAGCAACCAGGGACCTCAATCTAAACACAGTGCTAAATTATGGTAACTATTTAGAGTTGAGCTTTGTATTTTTTTTTTTTTAGGCGAGGAAGATTGGCCCTGAGCTAACATCTGTCCCAGTCTTCCACTACTTTGTACATGGGACGCTGCCACAGCATAGCTTGATGAGCGGTGTGTAGGTCCATGCCTGGGATCCGAAAACGCAAACCCTGGGCCACCAAAGTGGAGCACACAGACTTAATCACTACACCACCAGGCCGGCCCCCGAAGCTTTGTATTTTTTATTTCTCTACTCCCCCACCCCATCACTACCTCACTCTTATAGTGCCTGGCATATCATAAGATGGTAAATAAATAATGAATGGATATGAATGAATGCTGTCTGGGGTTTGAGTAAACATTGTGATTTTGCTGGTCTTATTATATATGTGAATTTTAACATAAGTTAAACCTTTCTCAGAAGAAGGAAGTTAGAGATTAGTGGAAAGGGCATGGGCTCTGAAGTCAGACTAGCCTGAGTCCAACCCCTAACTCTTTCCTTTACTGACTGAGGGTTAAATCTCATGCTGTGTGACCCTAGGCAAATGATGCTGTGTCTCTGAGCCTCAGTTTCCTCATCTGAAAATGGAGATCATAACCCACTCCCAATCTGCGATAATGAATGGATGCTGCTGAGGGCAGGTGCAAGGGTTACAGGTGGGCAGTGGGATCCTGAACTGGGCTTCCATGGGGATGTCATGAGGGAAGGATGAGGCCAGGACTCACCTGCAGGATGAACTGGGCAGCCACGGGCTTGTGGTCACTGACTGTGTATTCCATGTGGCTGCGGTAGCTGTGCTGGGTCACCTGGAGCTGGTGGCTCTCCTGTCCTGAGGGGCTGGGACCCCCACCTGGAGGTCTGACCTTCCACAGGATACGGTCTGTCCAAGCTGGCTTCCGCTTCTTGGCACTGCAGTGGGCGGGGGTAGCCCCAGTTTCAGGGTCTGGGGCTCAAGGCACAGCCCCCGGCCTTGCCTCCTGCCCCTCTTCCCTGTCTCCCTTATCCAGAAGACCTCAGCCCATGTCCCCACCTCATCCCAGTGCTGAGCTCACCTGGTATCATATTTGTTAGTACCCACGTCAAACTTGAAGGTGGGCGCAAAGTTGAGGGGCCCCTCCTGGAATCCCTTCAGGATGGGCCAGGTGGTCTTAGCCATGTTGAGCTGTGAGAGTCCAGAAGGGCAGAATTGGACAACAGCTTGGGCAGCGCAGGTGAGGGCAAGGACCATAGCCTAGGGTATAGGTGTTCCTGGGGCATG